CGAGAACGGCTGAACCTATTTGGCTAACTTTAGTCTTAAAATATACGTGTAAGTCCAGGGAAGGATTATACTGTGATAAAATATGAAGAAATTGCATGGAGAATAGTAAAAACAACAATTTTATTTTCCCATACAAACTGTCAAATAGGGTTAGAAATTTATTGTGTAGCTAACCTACTAAAAACTTTTACGTATTTATTTTTGAGGCGGAACTAAGAACGCGGGGTCGGAGCAAGGCTAGTTGTGATTCAAAATATAAATATAATAAATTGAAAAATACAACTAAATATTTTCACTCTTTACGATCAACCCCTATTTTTATATAGCAATATTAGTACTTAAATTTATATGGCAAAATAACCTTAGCTGGGTCAATAAGTAAATTTATATTATTATAGAATAGAATAGAAAATCATTTATTCAAATAAACTTACATTGAAACATTTTTGAATAGTCATCACATTTTTTTTAATCTACCGCTCATTCGGAAAGCTGTCTCATCACAAGAAGAACGAGCAAGAAACTTGCGTGTTGCACTTTTAAATAATTTTATTCTTTACAATTTATGTTTGTGAATACAATCTACCGATTAGCACTAATTCAAATAAAAAATCAAATGGAAAAAATATTGAATACACAACAACTGGTTAAACAATTAATAAGATGAAATCAGTCATAGTGATTAGAGCAGACCAGTCCTAACAAGCAGCACCCGTTCACGAGTATGACGAATGAGCCAGCCATCACTGCGCTCGACCATATTTTAGGGAGCCCAATGACCAGGCCCACCACGCCGCCACAAGTCTGGACATTTTAGGGAGCATGACTACTCAAAATATAGATAGATGTATATACGTTTTAAAATAAAGCGAATTACAAGACCCAACGGTTTATCGTGTTATTTGTGAACAAAAGCCGTTCATATTTTATTCATATTGTGATTTATGCGGGATGGCATAGGACTTATCGTGTACATAATATAGCTCTTAGCTTTATAGCGCATTTACATACATATGAATAAACAAGGTAAATATTATAACCTCGGTACGGAAAAATGATTATGTTCACATAACTCTTACCAATGTAGACTTATAACTTCAAAGTCAAAACGTATAAAGTCGCCTCTATTTGGATACATATTTATTAACTTATCTAATTAAAACCATTATGGTAGACCTAGAAGCGGTTTTTTCCTGGAAACCATCGTGCTAAATTACCATTTGCCAAGATGTGCTAACTGACCTGACTTTATGCTTATCATCCTCCACTGGAGCCTCGCCAGCGTAAACCGTTAGCACAGGCATCATTTCATTATCATCCATGAAAAAATAAATCTATATAACTTGTGGTGTATCATCAAAATCACCGACGAAGTGAAGCGGGTACTTCGAAGTGTCATAGCCAAAGTCATGGATCAACATACTACCATGGTCTCTAGGACTCTCTTAACCTTCCTACTCAAGTACTTGTTAAAATAATTTATGACAATTATCACGTACCTTTAGGGACCATTCTAATTCCTTTGCTTCATCACATAAAAAAAGAAACAAACAAAAATATACAAATGCTATATTTACACTTTATCACTATCTCCTTCTCTCGCCGAGTAAGAATGAGAGTGGAGCAGTCAAGGCCAGCAGTAACACCATTAGAAAAACCAACACCAATAGCAAACTATCCCACCTCAAGAACCCAATACCTGGTTGATCTGGCTGACAACCACATGACTTGAAGTCTTTAATCTTCAAGGTATCATCAGAACTGAGGTCAGGCATTGATAAATATGGACGTTCACTCTCTACTTTGGAGTTTTTTGAGCCTGAACGGTGAATACTTTTAGATGAACTTGAATTCTTTAACGTGGATGATTCATCATCTTTGCGTCGGTCACGACTGAAGATTCTGCTTTTCGTCATCTTGTTTAAGCTTGTGCCACTAGGTCGAAGGTTTAAACGGGTTCGGCTGGAATGGGAGGTGCTTGCGATGGGCAGTGTGAAGTTCTTTCTTGTGCAATTAGGGGATGTAGATCGGGAAGGGATGGGATCGTTGGAGGTGCCTGGGAACAAACGGATGTTTGGATAAGGTAAGGTAAGGATAACTGTAAAATCGGGTAATATTTTTAACGGATGATAATGAAAACGGATGTGTAGGTAAGGTAAGGATTATGACTTGTAAATTCAGGTATATATTTAATGGATGATAATGTAATGGCGCACCCGCTTGCGCTAATGATTTACGTTGGCGGGGCACCAGTGGAGGATGATAAGTTGAACGATGAACTATCTGAGGTCAGATAAGTTAGCCCATCGAGATTTTATCACGTGGACTGATGACCCTACTGTACCATAGATTGCTAGCAATGGGGTTATCAGTCCACATTACTCTCCCAGAATTGGGTGTTACCATTTTTTCATCAAGAGAAGTCTTGATTCCGATGTTATGAAACTGGCGTAACTGTTTTAAAGATGATACACTAACAACCGAGTTCTAATACTCCAACCTGATTTTGTGCAATACAACTATTGCAGTACTATATTTTTTCAATTATATAAAGCATATAGTTCTCAGATTCCTTATAGAATTAAAAAAAATATAAGTTTTTTTTTTAAGTTAAACAAATAGTTTTTCTAATGAAATACATCTATTGTTTCTTAGATTCCTATAAAAAAATTGTAAGTATTTTTTAAGTTTGTATAGCTTATACATATACGAGCCACATCTCGCGGCTCTGCATAATATACATACATACATACAGTCGCCAATAATATAGCTGTTTATAGGTAAAAACAAATAAAAATTTTCAATTATAATTTTTTTGTTAGGTCGGCCAATTCGCGTAGTGTGTAGAGGCGAGGATGATGAAGTTTTTTTTTATTTATCAATAATTAAATATAATTTAGTCGAAAGTCATATAATTCTTCTTTAAAATGTTCGTTTAAAACCTACAAAATCTATTCGAAATAACATGCTATCAAATATTCAAAGTATAATTGTAGACATTGGCTCGAATACTTAACTAGTTTTAAGGCCTCATTTCGGTAAAAATGTGTCGTACACACGAAATTTGGGTCTGAAATAGGGCTGCCAATATTAAGATGTTTTATTTTTAAATTGTATATTGTGATAATGTAATATGCTATCTACAATTACGTAATTAGAACCCAATTTAAAACTTGCCATGTACGAAGTATCCAAAAGTCAAGTACCCACCCATATCAGTTGTCTAGTACCCACAACACAAGCCCTGCTTACCGTGGGACTAGATGGCGCTGTGTTAATTGTCCAGGGTTATTATATATTTATTTGTAATTTTTCCCTACCAAAATCATCATTACATAGTATAAAACAAAGTCGCTGTCGCTGTCCGTCTCTATGTATGCTTAAATCTTTAAAACCACGCAACGGATTTTGAAGCGGTTTTTTTAATAGATAGAGTCATTCAAGAGGAAGGTATTATATATATAATACATGTACACCCGTGCAAAGCTGGGACGAGTAGCTAGTTAATATCGCTGTCGCTGTCCGTCTCTATGTATGCTTAAATCTTTAAAACCACGCAACGGATTTTGAGAGTTTTTTTTTTAATAGATAGAGTGATTCAAGAGGAACGTTTATATATATAATATATGTACACCCGTGCGAATTCGGGGCGAGTAGGTATTTGATAATAAATGATTTCTATTAAGTAATAATCGATTTATTTAAATAATCTATTATTTATTCACATCCCTAGCTCACAGCTGTCCTAATAAGCAACAAAGTAGTCGATGATACGTTTCACATGCATTGAATATTAATAGACCGATATCCTTAAGGCCATAGTACACGTACAACAATTTTTATATCAGCGATGTAGTTGTACCTAACAATTATTAACTGCCAGTATTTGTGTTATATTAGGTTTTCCCTGCGACATAAGTACATATATATAATACATGTATATCATATAATATACATACAAAACACTCAGACCGATACAAGCTTATGTACAAGCTGCACCCGCGAGTTCGTCCGCGTGGAATTTAACAAACAAGTTTGAGATATTTTCTAAAATAAAAGTAGCCTAAGTTGCTCCTCATTACATCAGCTACCTGCCAATAAAAGTTCCGTCAAAATCGGTCCAGCCATTTCAGAGATTAACCGGAACATACATACGGTCGGACAGACAGACAAATATTGTAAAAAATGTTATAACTATACATAACTAACTAAACATACAATATCTTTATTTTGTAGCTTTAAATATACATGCACTTCCAACCATTACATCACTTCAAATCTGTTATAATATATTTAAATAATAAATATGACAATATATATATTTGTTCTAAAGTTCCTTTCAATCTCTACAATATTATGTTTTTTAAAATTTAGTTGTTTACATTTTGGCGTCAAAATATTTTTTACTTTTTATATGGATTTATGGACACTAAGGAACATCCTATACAGCTATATTGGTATTATAAACTCTTATTATTTTTATTTATCAATATATAAATCGTAAGTTAACAGCAAATATATATGAATACTAGCTGTCGAGGCAAACGTTGTTTTGCCTTAAAATAAAAAAAAAATTTAGGAGTGGACTACCCCTAACATTTAGGGGGATGATAAATAGATGTTGGCCGATTCTCAGACCTACTCAATACGCTCACAAAATTTAATGAGAATCGGTCAAGCCGTTTCGGAGGAGGCTGGGAACGAAAACTGTGACACGAGAATTTTATATATAAGATATAAATACATAACGACCTAAGCATATACATAAATAAATTAAGCGATTAAATATTAAGATGATTGTTTTCGAAACAGCTTTATGTATTGGACATAAATATATTTATGCTATAATAATTATTTTTTAATAAATATATTTTTAAAGTCAATTTTCAGTCCAATCCAACAGTCCAACGGTCCAATGTCATCAGTGAGTCAAGTTACGACATTTCTTCAGGCGCTTTCTCCAGTCAATATAATGATTAATATCATGATTAAATACATACCTGGTTGCGAGTGCCGCTTCGGTTCCGGGACAGGGGTGGGGGACAGGGGCTCAGCGCCGCGGGACACTATCCTCCTGAGTTCCGCGTTGTGTCCCAGGGTATCTGCCTTCCACGGCTTCAGTTCCTTAACACCGTCCGCGTACACTTCCAGCATGAACGACTCGATTAACTCTTTGCCTGGTGGATAAGGAAATTACAATTATAAACTTTATATTTTTACTTCTTATGGATGATAATGGAATGGTATACCCGCATGCGATAACGGTTTACGCTGGCGGGGCACCAGTGGAGGTTGATGAACATGAGGTCAGGTCAGTTAGCTCATCGTGGTAAATTCACCATGAATTTATCACGATGGTTTCCAGGGGAAACCACGTGGCGGTCAACCTGACATAGTACCCGCTTGCGCTAACAGTTTTCGCTGGCGGGACACCAGTGGAAGATAATGAAGGTGAACATGAGGTCAGGTCAACTAGTACGTCGTGGTAAATTCACCATGAATTTATCACGATGGTTTCCAGGGGAAATCACGTGGAGGTCAACCTGACATAGTACCCGCTTGCGCTAACAGTTTATGCTGGCGGGGTACCAATGGAAGATAATGAAGGTGAAAACGAGGTCAGGTCAATTAGTACGTCGTGGTAAATTCACCATGAATTTATCAAGATGGTTTCCAGAGGGAACCACGTGGAGGTCAACCTGACATAGTACCCGCTTGCGCTAACGGTTTTCGCTGGCGCAGCACCAATGGAAGATAATGAAGGTGAACATGAGGTCAGGTCATGAATTTATCACGATGGTCCAGGGGAAACCAGGTGGAGGTCAACACAACATAGCACATTGCTAGCAATGGGATTATTAGTCCATTATTAACAATTCCCTTCACCCTGACCTTCCTCATTAGTGATCAAACTCCGACCGTTAGATCTCCCATATTGAAACACGTGTTTGGCCTTTATTCGAGGCATCATCAGGCAATTAATAGGGTTTCGATATACTTTGGAAACCTGGTCTATCGGACGTAAAGCTAGACCGCTAGACCACCGAGGTCGTCATGTATATATATGTATGTATGTATGATATAATAATAATATAATATCTTTATTGAATAAATAAGAATATTTTTACAAATAAAAAATTGTAAAACATGAATTCTGAGGTCTGAAATAGAAAATACCTGTGTTTATTATTATTATTACTAATAAAATGTACTTAAAAAAAAATTGTCTAAGTTTTTTAGGATATATTATGAAGTTTACGTAGGTTGGTGTAATTGTGTGAGTATGTGTGTGTGTGTGTGTGTGTGTGTGTGTGTGTGTGTGTGTGTGTGTGTGTGTGTGTGTGTGTGTGTGTGTGTGTATGTGTGTGTGAGTGTGAGTGTATATATAATACATCCAATGTAACAACATACAAGCAAACGTCCAAACCAGACAAAATAACATAAAAATGTAACGTGTAATCTTCCAATCAATACTCCAGCTATAAACAAAGGAGAAAAATAAAATTTCTAAGACACGGTTGTTTGTTTGTCTTGGCACCGACTCAAATTCATTCAGACTAGTAATAGAGCTGGTGGAGTTAGATCTAACGATTTCAATACATTTGTACTTCAGCCCTAGTGTATTTGATCACGAGCTGCCGCAAAGCTGCTTCTTGAAATCTTGTAAAAAGTTCCTTATTTATTTATTTATTCGAAACCAACAGCATACACAATACATAATAACAGAAAGTACAAACCAATAGTATAGCTAATAATAGCTAGCGATAAAAGCAATGAGTTAAATAAGATTTCCGATAGTCATAATTACCATACGCGTAATAAAGGCAATATAGAAACAAACCTTTTTTTTTTTTTAACGTGTGGAAAATCTTCAAAAGACCTTCACCCCGCCGGAGGGAGGGCGGGGCGGTGTGTGAGATTTGTACTCACCAAAAACCACACGGTGTACCTACGAGCGCCTATGCCGGAGCCAGGGGATTCGCAAGTGCATTTCTACCCCAGCTCCGACGGCGATGGCCCGCCCTGTAGATGTTGTAGGGCAGGCCCCATCTCGTTATGTGGTTAGGGCGACCTATTTCGCCCTACTCCATTGTGGAGGCGTGTGGGTACACGCGCACACCTCCGGGGCCTTTGATTTGGGGTACTGCCTCCCTCAAGGCAGTCACCCCGGCCCCAGTGGGGGATAGAGGGGGGCGGAGTTGGGTACGCCCCCACCTCTAGGCCTGGCTCTTCTGCGGCGGAGGGAAGCTGGACGAGCTGACTCCCGCTCCCTTTCCGCCGCCTCCTTCCGCGAGATAACTTCCTCGCAGAAGGAGCTCACCGCAATATAGAAACAAACCTTTTTTTTTTTTTTTTTTTTAACGTGTGGAAAAATCTTCAAAAGACCGTCACCCCGCCGGAGGGATGGCGAGGTGGTGTGTGGGACTTGTACCCACTAAAAAACCACACGGTGTACCTACGAGCGCCTATGCCGGAGCCAGGGGATTCGCAAGTGCATTCTACCCCAGCTCCGACGGCGACGGCCCGCCCTGTAGATGTTGTAGGGCAGGCCCCATCTCGTTTTGTGGTTAGGGCGACCTATTTCGCCCTACTCCATTGTGGAGGCGTGTGGGTACACGCGCACACCTCCGGGGCCTTTGGATTGGGGGACTGCCTCCCTCAAGGCAGTCACCCCGGCCCCAGTGGGGGATAGAGGGGGGCGGAGTTGGGTACGCCCCCACCTCTAGGCCTGGCTCTTCTGCGGCGGAGGGAAGCGGGACGATCTGACTCCCGCTCCCTTTCCGCCGCCTCCTTCCGCGAGATAACTTCCTCGCAGAAGGAGCTCACCGCCAGCCACGATCTCTCGCTACTGATCATCCTCCGAACTAAATTCGGCAGCGAGAGATCGTCCCCCACTATTCGTGTGAGGACACGGCGCTCACTCTCGAACGCTGGACATTCGTCCAGCGTGTGTTGCGCCGTGTCCTCCACACCTCCGCACTCGTGGCAGCCGGTCGTCGGCTCCTTCCTCGCCACATGACACAGATACCGCCCGAAGCACCCGTGCCCGGACAGTATCTGCGTCATGCGGTACGTCAGTGGCCATCTCCTATTCATCCACCTTTTGAGGATGGGACGGACAGCCTCGACGGTCCTCAGGCCGGCCGACGGGTTCATCAGCCTAGCCCGCCATTCGATCCTGAGGATCCGCCGAAAATCGGACCTCCGCGCTTCAATCTCATGCCCAGCGGGTGCCTCCCCATGGAACGTCGCTCCGCGCGCAGTGGTACACTGACGCGTGGAGCTCCGCTACCAAGTCCCACGGAGGAGACCCCGCCAGCAGACCCGCCGCTTCCCCGGATATGGTGCGGTAGCCTCTAATGGCCCTGATGGCCATGGCCCTGTGTGGCCTGTTAAGGCAGGCCACATTTTCCCTACCTAGGGCCCCCACCCAGATGGGGGCCCCGTACAGGGCCATGGACCGCACCACGCCGAGGTATAGGCGGCGGGAACCTTCTCCCGGGCCCCTCACGTTTGGCAGCAGCCAGCTAAGAGCGCCGGCGGCTGCCATAAGGCGAGGGACCAGGTTCCGGAAATGAGCGCGGAAGCTCCAACGACTGTCCAGGTCAAGCCCCAAATACCTAATACAGGGCTTGACCCCCACCCTCTGGCCACTGACGACCAGCTGGGCATCCGGAGGTGGCGC